AAACATTTCATAAAATTTTACTAGTAAAGTCTTTAGTTTTAAAAAAACAGTTTAGGTAATTTTATTCTACTATTTCCGATAAGTTTAATCCCAAAATTCAAAAATAAATTAATTCGTAAGTTAAAAAGAAACTTGAATTTTAAATTTATATAATTTGTCACACAGCATAACATCTTCGCTGACTAGTATTACGCAAATTGTGTGATAATAGAGAATTTTACTATGATGTGCTTATAAAGAGTTATTTTTTATAGATGACTATATAGAAAGATTATTGTATTAATAAATTCAAACTTATCAAAAAAATTTACTATATAATTAAAACTTTAAATTTACGGTTGACCAACCCAAACACTACAAAGACCAACCAATCTAAGAATTAAACCAAAATCTCTTACCACTAAAGAACTCGAGCTTGTTCAAACTAAACAGTTAATAAAAAAAGTTTATTTGAAATTAACGTAAAAAAGCAGCTTAAACAAAAACATTCCAGTTACCTTACTTTACAGTATAACTTTGCACGGTCCAATATACAACAGTATGTTATCTTCTAAGCAAAGTTTCCTAGATTTGAGATTATATTCTAAATAAATACCTTAAAGCATGAATGAAATGCTAGTAAAAAAAATTTCTTATTTTTTCGATCTATAGAGATCCGAAAGTTTTAAACCATACTTTTGAATTTGAAGAACATAATTGTAAAAAAAATATTCACTGGTCATACGAACGACTGTGAATATTATCTAAAAAAAGAACTTTCGTATGACTTCATATGATAAATATTATAATGCATGATCTACCATTTTAATATGATGATCTGGATAAACAATTAATTAAAACCATACTGATTTCCGCTCTGCTAACCCACCTGAGATATGGACACCGATTATATAAGGTTTTATGGCATTATTTATTTTATTTTTTTTTTAGCTATATAGAAGAATGACAACTCTGCAAACTTCAAATCAAAATCGAAATAAGCCCATGTTCCACGCCACATTTCTTGATGGTGTTCGTGGTGTGGCAGCTTTAAGTGTTGTTTGGGCTCACTCCCAGAATGTATATATCCAACGTTTGGATTTTAACACATTCGACCTTATGGGAACTTATGGTGTAATCATGTTCTTTGTGCTTTCCGCCTTTTTACTTACTATTCGGACGCTTTTGGGTTGGGAACAGTATCACGAAAAAAGGGAAGAGGAAAAAAATACCGATTCAGCTGTAAATAAAATTGATCATTTAGAAAGTTGTGTAGACCTCGAAACAAACATATCAAACGTTCCACTCTTGTCATCGACGAATTCTGATAATTTTGTAATTTCCTACTATTTATATTTAATTGAAATTATTTTTTAATTATTTTATAATTATTACTAATCATTTAATAATAAATATTAGCCTGAAATATCCTCATTAGAAAAAAAAACCTGACAGTCTCTTCTACTATTATATCCGAAAAAAAATATGGCTAAAATTTAAAATACCAATAAAATTTTGGTCAAAGTTCTTTCTTCGTCGATTTATGCGTATATACCCACCGTATTCGATTCTTTTACTATTTATTGC